CATTACATCAAATTATGTTCATGCTTGGCAGTATATTTTGTTTTAGATAAACTGTAGAATCATTGTAAAAACAGTAAAAAATATATTTCATAGACTACATAATACAAACATGGTAATTTAAGCTCCTCTCATGCGATTTCTTCTTCATCTGCAGTGTATCAATTAACAATACAACGTAGTCTGATTGCATTACAACATTGTTGTATGAGAATCCGATCTTGTCGCTCGTGGTATTGTGAATACCACTGTGATGCATATTGCTGACTTTCATATCAATATTCCACATGCACACAATCACACATGTTATTACCTGAATTGTCATAACCCAACAAACCTAACATCGTCAATTTGTTGTATATTCGATGTTTTTTTCTCAACTTACATAATTTTGTGGTCATTCCTTTCATATTACACGTACAAAAACTTCTGACACATTTTGAATTCAGGTATTGAGCTTAAAACTTAATTCGTTAGAATAATTGATTGCGTAATGCATCTCAGGTAGCTGACTATATACACGGTGGCCCATTAAAGTGAGAAACTTCAATGTTAGTTGTGGTTAATGTAGTTATCTTTCAGTATCTTTCAGTATATAGCTGTAAAAGGTATATAGTCAGTTTTTGATTCATCAACGGTGAGTATTCTACTACAGAAATCATCCCAACATCTTTTTTCACATTACTTTTCAGAGAATTCCATAAGCTGTGTCTTCCATTAGATAGTAAGTTTAATGATTCATTGCCATGAATGTAGAACAGAAAAGGTCCCAGTATCGTTCCCTGTGGCATTACAAATTCAACTTTTTTAGGTTGTTGCCAGTTGATGTAAATTTCAGTTTTTGTTCAGACTGATATAGTTATTTGTATTCAAGTAATTAATTAACAAGCAAACAAATCGAGTATTATAAATAATTTCAACCAATTTCCGATATGTACAAAAGTACCTTTTTATACTAAGAAAGGTACTTTTTCTGACCACCCTGACGGCCCTGACCACCAATTACCGGTCTAATTATACATACTGCAGACTGAATGCCATTAGCAGTTCATAAACAATCAAGAATGTGAAAACAATGTCTATCATAAGTCACACTCAATTTTGATTCGCGATGACCCTATTGACGAAATAATAAGTGAAAGTTCATTGATTTGAGCTGCCTGTATCTTTTTCGCAACTCACAACTCGGTGTCAAGGTATAAATTCTGATATTCTTATCTACTCAGATTTCAAACTTTGTATCATAATTTTTGAAGTACAACTTGTCGAATGTGGGAAGAGCTCTGTTAATTTCGATATGGTCTAGGGAACGCGTAGGTCAAATCAAATCAAATCAAATTAATGATATAAGATTGGTTTTTTCTATATTGAAGGATAGCAGATTGGAGTTGCACCACTCTCTCACTTTAACAATAGCTTGTGCTATTTTGTTTTGAAGATCATTTTCATTAGTGTCATGCCACAGGATGGTTGTATCATCTGCAAAAATTGTGAACGTTCCCTCAGATCAGTATAAGCTAGATCATGCAAATACAACAAAAACAATACTGGCCCCAGTACCGAGTCTTGGGGTAGTCCGTGTCTGACAGAGACAATATCTGACATCGTGTCAGTTCTCATAACTTGAGTTCGTTGACTCAGATATGATTTCATTCAGTTGAAGCTTTGATTTCTGAAACCATAGCGTTGGAGTTTGCGTAGCAGAATTTCGAGGTTCACACAATCGAAAACTGTCAGAGTAAAGTCTTTTCAGCAGATGGAAAATTGCATTCCCTGTACTCTTTTTGAAATGAAAGCCAAATTGTTGACGATTCAACAATGAAATGAAATTCGTCAACCTAATTTTTACCAATTTTTTTATGATTTTACCAATGGTGGGAATATGCGAGATGGGTCGAAAGTTTGAGGGATCTGAGGTGTCACCCCCCTTGTGAATGGGGATCACAAAATTTGCTTTAAAGAATTGTGGGTAGGTTCTCTTGGCAAAGGTGTCATCAATAAGTACCAGTAACTCTAGAGCAAAGATTGGCATATTCTCAAAAATTCATATCGATATGTTATCGATGCCACAAGAAGTATTGCGAATTCTCAAGTTTCTTCCGAGAAAGTTATGACTGGTTGACATCAACTGTATTGAAGCTAATCATTCTTATTTGTTTTTTCAAACAGTCCCTACAATTATAATTAGTCGAGTTATGAAGAAAATAATGTTGATCCTAATATTTTTGGCGAGACAAAAAAAGGGAAAATCATTTCCCTAATTACCACTATAAAATATTACTAAAACGTGACACATGTTTTTCTCTAAAATAATCCATGCATACATCACAGCTTTTAAAATCATATTGATTTTATATGTGCCAATACGTCGAAATTGAGGGTTACCTTTCTACCTTTCGAAATATAGCCACCTCGGGCGTTCCCCAAGGTTCAAACCTCAGGCCTCTCTTGTTCGTATTGTTCATTTATGTTCTTTCGATTGTTCGTTTATGTTCTTTCAAAGATCATCAATCCATCAAAGTTGATCTTTGCCGATGATCTTGAAATCTATAAAATAATTGAAAGTACCTCAAACTGTTAATAAGGTCAATGCGTGCTGTTCCAGAAATCACCTTAACTCAAATATGTATTTTGAATCGTTCCGTGATATTTCTCAGCAGAAAGCACGACATCATCGAATTTAACCACAAAATTTGTAAGAAAACATTAGGAAAGCGAAAGAAAGTCACAAAAGTCGAAGATCTGGGAGTTGTTTTCGATCAAGAAATAACATGAACCGCAAATAGGATGGATGGCTTTTGGGTGAGACAAAGTAGAGATTTCATCTCTTTTCACTATCATACTCATGTGGCCAAAATAGAAAAGTCACCCGGAGTCATATCTGGCGAATATGAAGGCTGTGGCATCTTTACAGTACTGTTTTTGACCAAAAATTCACAAACAAGCAATAACGTGTGAGCAGGTGCATACTCGTGATGCAGAAGCCATGAATTGTTTTCTTGCGATTTTTAGAACGTCCCTAGAGGAGATTTTTAAAATCTCTATCATTCAAAATAACTGTAGTATATCCAGAAAGGGATGCAGACCACTCCCTTCTACTCAACAATTTCAGCTTTATGTCCCTGAACTCACGTAGAAACATCATATCCCTCTGTAACTTAATTAAGGAAAAAATTATTTGTGAAGATTTATTGTCCTCATATTAATTTTTCTCTTCCCCATATTAATTAGAGATACCACATAACTTTTGATTGTGATAACTACAGAACAAATGTCCTACCAAGATCACCTACCGTAGTGATGTGTCAAAATATGCCAGAGCTGGGAAAAAGTTTCGTTCCTGAATACATAGAAAATGTTAATTTACCTAGAAAACTAATGTAATTTCTATTTTCAATATTATTTCAAGAGTATAATGATCACATAAATAGGATCTAGGATCATTTTCTCCTGTATTTTTTTATCATTATTTCGTATATTTGTAATTCAGGTTAAGTTCTTATTTATTATTTTTCCAAATTGCATGTTTACTTACTAGAATTTAGAATTTCCTGTAATTGGGTATTTATGCCCGATGGAAATAAATGACTGTCTAGTTATGTATCTATCTATCTAGCATTTTATATCTGAAAACGGGCGATGCTTTTGTATGTCCCCACGTCAATTTTAGTGACTATTTCGCGTCCAGCGTTTGCGGAACCTTCGATCTTATCAGCGGATGCAAAAGGTCCGTAAGCGTGAGGGTGGTGAGACCCTCTCACCCCCCAACGATTATATTTCGAGTCTGTGGATTGTGTCTCGCGACTACGTTATGTCTAATCGATGCATTTCTGCGCGTCCTGTCTTAACCCTCGACTGGCCATTACGCACCTTAATGGTCCTGCTCGTCCATCGCCTCGAACAAGAGGTGTACCTAGGGTGGTTAAGGGGTTGAAAAGTGTGATAAAAATTACTTTGAATATAGTATTTTTAGATCTACACCTTTCTTTTGTTAGGTTAACCAGAAATGAGGAAACTTGTCGGTCTATCGGTGTTTCCCTAAGAATAATAATTTACGAATAATAAAAACTCCTTCTATGTTGTATGTACAGAAAAAACAGGAATTTTCATTCAAAAAAGTTTATTTATTCGTCTACATTCATATTGTCGCCCTCAAAATAATCCCCCTTGTAACAGCGCTCCTTCCAATTTCGAAACACTACTGAAACTCGATCTTTGGGATAGCTTTTTCAGTGATTGGATTTTAATGTCATCTATACGGCCATTTCAGGTTCATTTTTGGAAATAGGAAAAAGTCACCCAGGGTCATATCTGGCGAATATGAAGGCTGTGGCATCTTTACAGTATTGTTTTTGAGCAAAACTTCACAAACAAGCAATAAAGTGTGAGCAAGTGCATACTCGTGATGCAGAAGCCATGAATTGTTTTCCTGCGATTTTAAGAGTTGCATATACCGGATCCTCATTAACCACCACCAGAAAAACACCTAGCGTGGAGAAATCAGTGAATCTGGAATAGCGGAGCAATTTTTGACTCATGAACATAACAGGGAAAAAAAACGTGTTCAAGAGGAAGTTCAAAGAAGCTGCGTAATCGTTAACCAACGGCGCTTCCAGACAAGCAGTCCGTAACCGGACTGGAAAAAAGTGCACGTTGCAATGATCTGGAAAGCTAGAGGACAGTGGGGAGAGTTACCTATAGATAGTTTCGACTGTCAGGAACAGTCCAGTTATCACCTAAAAAGATTGTGTTTAACAATCGAAACGCCGTGAAGTAACTCAGTTTGAAATCATTTTATTGTCTTATATTATTTTTTTGGCAATATATCATTTATCTTGAATATTTAGCCAAATTATTCATAAGTTATTATCTTATATCATTTCATACTTGACGTGGATATTTCGTACACCTTTTACATAGCTATAATTATTAGTAATGAGCTGGGTTTAAATCAGACAATAAGATAAGAATGTTTACATGCTTGGTCCATACGTGACTATTTTGTACCGTAGTATTTGCAGTGCAATTGTAATCATTTTTGTTTTGCAGTGAGTCGTGTAAAAACTCCTCTTCATCGATAAAATTGTAAAAGGCTTCATTGAACCGTAATGTAAAGTTGATAACATTTTTCCACATAAATTCACAAATTTGAATACCTTATCAGTATAGCATTTCAGTTCAGTCTAGAACAATAGACGGTTAGGTGTAGGCATGTAGTTGTTGATGTTGGGTTCACCTTTTCCATAAAACGTGAGTAACCAAATCGTGCTAATTATGTTTTTCATCAATAATGGTGACCATTCCAATTCAAATGTGCACCGAAAATAATGTAGAGTAGTCACTATAGATTTGAAGCTATAAGATTTTCCCGTTCTTTCCATCACGCCGAGCTTTAATGAAGAAATAACAATTCCTATATATCCAACCAATGTACACAAACCGGCAGATATCGGAAGTAACAAAAGTTTAAGGTTCTCCTTTTTCTAAGAAAGTCTAACACGAAAATCTAGTCTATAGGCATTACAATTCCGGGGCAGTAAAGAGTTGTTCGTATGAAAGTCATCATTATTTTCTCAGTAGGGCCTCCACGTTCCGTTTGCGTGATAAGGATGTCAATATTTAAACATAAAAACAATGTTTTTCACACAACTTTCTCAGCAGCCATGTACTTTTTTTTAAGTCACATATTAGAATTTTATATTCATATTTGGTAAGACAAAATCTCTTACGCATAATTAATTTCTACATGAATGCCAGTGTACTGAAATAGGAAATATTTACGTTTCATCTCAAAACAGTAGTGTGATATCAGGTGATATATGAAAGACTAGTTTCGTCTTGCCTTCAAATTACATATTCAAGTATTTTATACTACTGGATAATGGTGTAGACGTTTCGTCTTCCGGCCACCATCATCAACTTCAGTTTTTCTTACGGGCGCTACATTGGATTCTTTTTGTTTTGAATAGAACCAGATTTTATCTTATCGAAAAATTGGAGATATTGATAAAAACTAATTCTTATCATAATAGGCTTCAGGCTTTGACTTTGATGTTTCTTGATTTGACTTTCAATTTGTTACACTCAATGACATTTTTGTTATTGTACAAGTCTTTGAATTTTTGGCGAAAAATGGTTTTCACGAATGAAGAAAAAAGAGATGTGATACAAATTTATTACAAATACGATAGAAACAGTGTTAGGACACCAAAAATGTATTTAAACTTGTATCCCGAAAGACGACAACCACATCGAACCATGTTCAACAAGTTATTGGACCAAAATCTCACCGAGTTTGGTTCATTTGAAAGGCCGATGAAAAAATACAAAGACAGAATCAACAATCAATATTTGATAAATGAGGTGTGTATGAGGTAAATTAGACATTGTGTCCTTTTCAATGAAAATAGAACTTCGAACAAATAACAATAATCAACTAAAATATAAAGACAAAAGTAAATCACAGCAAATGCTCAGAATGCTGGCCTTGTTTATGATAACACAAACGTGCCTTTCTTCGAATATTATTCACTGCAGGATTAATTTCCCTCCTCCTCAATCTTCAAAACTCTCTAACAATGATTTTTTGAAGGTCCCCAATAGTGTGATATTCCCTCTGACCATAAACTATTTTTTCAATTTACCTCATAAAAATGTTCCATAACACTTAAGTCTGAAGACCTTCCAGGCCACCTCACCGGCCCATTATTTCCTATCCATTTATCATCAAACCTTTTAGTCAGGTAATTAGATACTCGTCTGTGTGGTGGAGCACAATCATGTTGAAATCAGATGTTGTTATATTTAGCCAAAGGGAGATCATCCAAACAGTCTTCGAAAATCGACATTAAAAACTGGTGATAGATTTCTCCATTCAGAATTCCGTCAAATGAATGAGGACCCAAAATTCTATCTTTGTAAATTCCTGCCCACACGTTAATACTAAATCGCATTTGAGGTGGTCGAATTTCTCGGAACTGTCTGGGGTTGTTTATGCTCCAAATGTGTTCGTTATTTCGGTTTTTCCCATCAAGAAGCAGTGTAAATATTACTGGAGTTTTTTCTCAACACCAAATCGTTATTTTTAACATCTCGACATGTGTNTGTTGTCGCATTTCTTAAGGACGTCTTTTACTTCGGCAATCATCTTTGGTAACGGGTTCCTGGACAATTTCGCATACGGTCCGTTAGTAATGAGAGTATTGACCCTTTCGTAGTAGTCCGATTTATCCAGAATTACTACTTTCAAATAAAAAACGTCCTTTTCTCTCAATCATTTGATAAGTTTCTTTTGGTTTTTATTGTTGTTCATTGAATGCTTCCGTTTATCTTTTATCTTGTTCTTGGAGATTTGACTTCTTCTCGAACTGGTCCCTTCGAGGAATCGGGCATAGTATTAACTGAAGAAGTAGTGAATGCAATAAGACTAGCGCCATGTATTTGTTAAACCCGAGACTTTTCAGCCCATGTAGTATAGAAAATTACACTTCATAGGTTTCTCAAATATCTTGATGGCAATTTCTCCGACCCATTTTCTAAAAAGGTATCACAAAAATATGAAGGTTACATTTACATTGGTTTGTCACGACTGCCGATAAATCTATATCTGGGAGAGCTTATCAGTCTTCGTTAATATCTCCTGCAACACGGATGTATGCGTAATTCTGGAAGCATTATTATACAAAATCGTAAGTGGGATATATCAAATATTTTGCTTCAGATTTCTGTTGTTTGTGTATATATTTTCTCGTAATTCCGACCAGAGCTTTCCAGATCTAGGGGCTTTTGATTGACCTTATTTCATGAAAGTTCATAATAATATATGCCTGAAAATGCATTTTTTCCTAGATACATTGGATACAGGCTTTTACATATGAATATCGTAAATATCCCTATCCAATTTTTGTGAAATTTGTCAATTTTAGTTTCAGTGATGAGATGTTAATTTGCCATCAATCAGATACAAATAATTGAAGTGGCGACTCGGAACAAAGTGTAGGCAACATTGTTGTAACATTTAATTTTGCTTTGGATATAACACCTTAAAATAAAACGTTTTTATCCGTTGATTTATTTTCGTATCTCATTTTGTTTCCGGAAAAGAATAACAACGAAAAGCATATGAAAACAATCAGTGAGCTATGTATTAAAAACTACTAGTTTAGGATATTTGTCATTCATCGAATTACATTTATTGTTGTTACAACAGATATTTACAAGATTGAAAAATAGATTTTTTTATCAAAGTTCCAACACCCTGTATCTTGGAAACAATACATTTCAGGACCTGTAGTATATGATTTTTCTCTTAAAATTAATTCCTGAACAGTCACCCGTAACTAGAGATCACTCTTCATAAGGTACATGTGATTTGTTGAGTCTTGACAAGTGAGTTATCATTTGATATTTTTTTAGTCACATTCTGTAAAACCGAAATAAAAGTACTTTTTTTGTTCCACGGTGTCTGTAATAGAACATTTCTTGTTAGGATCTGAATCGTCCTCATTTGAAGTTTCTCTACCACTCTACACAAAGAATATGAGTCTAATTATTTCTTACTTCCACTATACAATTCACAATTTGAAAGAAATCATAAATCTTTCTGGTACAAAAAAAATATATATAAGGGAAATAAAAAAGAACAAATTTAAAAAATACCCTTCATCGGCATGGAAATATGAAAGTTTTTCACAAAATTCCTTCTCGCAGATCTATACCTACAGCGTAACTCACGGTCGATGGTAGGTTAGACGTTTATGGAAAACGCAAAGCATGATTTTTCTGAAAATTTCACCTCTTACATTTCCTTACCTGTGCTATCGATCAATACAATATTTTCAGCATTGCGGCGTTGCCACTTCTATCAAAAAGTCCTGGCAATTATATTTTTTTAAATGGAACACCCCGTATATTAATACATTTTTGGAATCGCTCTAGTATTTTAATACTTTTTTGTTGATAATGACCTATTCCTATCTCTATCTGTTTTCGAGAAAAAAAATAAATTGTGCTAAATATGGTCCAAAACATAGCCTTAATTGAAATTAAGTACATCAGTACTCTCAATTCATGAAAAGTTGATATTTTGATGATAGTTTGGACAGACTCGAAATATTC